GTATCAATCAGTACTATGACCCCGGCCAGATGAATGTACAAACAAGAAAAGTATGTGTATAAACTTATTTATTCCTTTTGGCCCATTCAACTCTTGAATGAAAGAGAACTTCACCTTCAATCTATGTTCATCTTTGATCCTCCCAATCGTAACTGCCGTGATACTTTACATATAACTAAATATAGTCATATAGTAAGTGACATATTGTTATTATGCCTAAATTTTTCAAGAAATTCGCAGCTTTTCCTACTGCATGCCTAAAGCATGATTACGTTTCGTCATTGGTGTTGCGTAGACTACGTGAGCGTTTTAAAGAGTTATTTAGGCGGCAATGTTATCGTACAGATAGCTGCCTTTGTCTTTTGGTGTCTGAATGAAATTTCTGATCACCGTGTGAATGTGACCTTGATGCGCTTTCCCGCTGCACCCAATGACAACAATTGACATTTGTTTGGTCAGAACATTGGCAAGCGATGACTGCAGTTTGGAGATAAATTTTGCGTGCGTCTTTTTATACCTGAATATCCGATCTTGCACACCGTCATTCCAGAGCGAAGCGACTGCTTATCAATGTGAAGCTTTGTATTCATACATCTCGTTAATAAAGCGTGATAAAATTTAATGACTCAAAGATTACCTAACTAACGTACAGCATCTGCATAACTGATCACAGCAAACTGTTAAGAAGATCTAGCTGAAAACGGATCTTTTTCTATCTATATGCATAGACCCGCAGAACTTCATCTCTGGTTTACAGCGCGGTACATTGCGTGCGGTTAAATTTGTGTGTTTGGCATATCATTTTGGTGAGTTTGATTTTTTAATATTGGTCTTCACCTCACCTGATAGAGACAGACCCCTTCGGTTACCTCGACACTTCAAATTTTCCTCGACTTCTTTTTATCAGACCGGCCCCGTTTGGTACGATTCGTTTACAACTACTGAGATTACGAGATAAGGATGACACGGACCGCAAACCTCCCGCTGTTCCGAAGGGACCAAACACCCATCGGAGAGAAAGGCGGCGGTAAAGGGAAGTCAACTAACAACATTGGTCTCGATCACATTTCCGTGAAATTACCCCAGCCTTAGTCGATGTATATTATTACAGTCTTTTTCCTACTAAAAACTCACCATTAGCGACGTTCGATCTTGTCTATGAAGCGTTCGGTCACATTAATCTTTCACAAATCCGATTGTAATTGTTTGCTAGCAATCCCCCCAATGGCAGCATAAATGATTCACTTGATCATTTACCACTGTGACTTTTTTTTAGATGGATAGAATAGAATATGGCACGGTATTTCGGAGCAGTCGTTCTTTGTGGGTAAAAGTAATCTTGAAATAATATCATCGCGAGCTGAATAAGTTGTCCTTAGATTTGGTCTGTTCTATCTGGATCAATCCGACTGACTGATGTGTTGTCATATATCGATCGTTTGACGTAATACGGTATTACGATTTAAGCAATGACCGACAGGTGCACGCCTCATTCAAAATGCAAAAAGGTTCACCTGTGAGTCTTGTCGATAACACCTGTCGCAAAACATTGTGACATTCGACATTTTTATGTAACGAGGACCCGACGAACTAGACGGTGCCATAACGTAGCGATCAAGCTCACCTGCAGGTTTCTCCTCAGCTGTGTACACTAAGCGGACTTGAAAATAACATCGGCGGCAGATATGCCTGGCCCGTCGCTCGGACCTGACCGCTGAACGAAATCTGTAGATGGCAGAGCTGGAGATAGTTCATTCGGGCTCGCCTTCTAGGCATACTTTTGTCCAACGACCCGAGTCGCCGGTTGCTCATGGCTTTCTGTGTCTGCGGCTTTGCGAAAGGCTCCAAAACAAATTAAAGATCAACCAGGACCGATTATCGCGGATCCGCCAAGACGCGCAACTCTAAGCCGTCGTTTTATGGCTCGCTAAGCTGCGCAGAACAGGTCTATTTCAAGCAGTTGCATTATTAAAGCTTTCCGTGAAATCGGAGTTTGCAAGAAATAATCTATTTCTAGAATTCAGTTACTGCGTGTAGCGTTATGCCTTGAATTACCTACAAAGGCTGCGTGTCATACTTAGATAAAACCATTCTATCCAGGTCTCCGAGGAATTATTTTAACACAAACTTCGCTTTTTTTCTTCAGTTCTAGCAATGACATGTTAGTTTCTGTAGCGAAGAATAAAGCTCTATTTGCTCACACTACTACCCTCTTCGGTACGTGCAGGGACAGATCGAAGCTTCGTAGAAATAAATTCTTATTTAGACCTACACTGAAAATGGTAGTTCTAAATAATAAAAAAGTAGCGTGTCAGCGCACGTTCTATCGTTCGGAAGATGTTTGTTTACCGAAACAAACAACTATGACGCCCTGTATCGCGCCGGCGCGTCGCGCACACTCGACCACAAATTAGTCAATGTCTGCTTACGATGCCGCGAAAGATTACTACGCACATCAGTTGCAATAAAAACAGGTCCCCATCATGTCACGAGGCACCGCTCGTTTAATCCAGGTAAAAACGACAAAGAGCACAAAAGCGCTTGCTGTGGGAGCGAGACACCTTGCCGAATGACGGTGTTATCGGTCGCAGTTACCCATTTTCGAGCGGGCATTTTTGTCGCAGAAAATTAGCGAGGTTTTGACAAATACTGAAGTATCTCCGCTAGGGATGCGCAATTGATTTATCAGATTCTTCAAGAGCATTTAGAAGATGGAGGCTAAGGATGAACATCGAAACCGTTATTTCAGGACATACCATTGTGCCGTAACAAATTATGTAGGATTCAATATTGCTACTAGCACGGAAAAGAAAGAAGCTGTGATTTGAAAATGCTTAGTTATATAGTGTACCTACATAATGAAATACCGGCAAAACTTCGCGCCGCTGCGAATGCTAATACATCCCTCACCAGCGTCGTTTGATTCAGCGTGCTCTGTAACGTAATTCATATTTGTCAAACTCATCTAACCATCTCTGGCCAACTTTTCACTGTTCACTCCAGTCACCCGCTCTGCGGCTCGAGCTCCGACAGAGATAATCTGGGGAATATTCAGGTTTAGTGCCGGTGCTATTCCCACGACATTGGACTCGTGATGAGCGACCGCGTTTTGCGGTGTCGGTAGAACCTCAAATGCAGCGGCATCCAGCCCGCTATTGTAGACTGTTTCCGCAGCGATCTTCCTGTGTGCACAAAGCGTTGCCCAAATCGGAAAGTATAACACAGTGCTGCATGCAAGGTCAACGAAAAGTAAACAGAGGTACATGGACGAGAGGAGGACTAAGTAACTGTCACACAGGCCAAGCCTATTTTAAGTAATGATCCTCGTTCGTAGATCTGCTTGCGCAATCGTCACTCTAAGGCCTGCGTTACTCTAATATCCTGGCTGGCCGGCCATAGCTAACGCCTGCGAAGTACGTACCCGACATAACTGTACAGTATGAATCAACAAATTGATAGCGGCATGTTCGCACGTATGTCTTGCTTATTTATTGTCAAGAAATACTTACCGACTAAGTAGAAACGTCGATTTCGATTGGTTCGATTTCAGATCGATAATGTCCAATAACACGTTCTAAATGTGACGGCAAACCGTAACATGCGAAAGAGCCACTTCAGAAGCTTTTGACCGACGTTTTCAGATATACCTGCCTGACATTGGGCAATGTCGCCCTTTATATAACTAAATTATCATATCCCTCATGATTTCGCTCTGTGCATTATCAAGTTCAACCCTAACAATTTAAATAGTACTACTGCTTCTTCTTCATCAACGTCTGCATGAGTGACACGTAATATTATTGTTGTTTATGCTCACAAGCTGCATCATTCTGAAATGGGCACGCAGTAAAACTTCGTCCATTAAACATCGGTCCATACTAAGAGCTCTGTTTACGATTTTATGGCGATTTTATCGTAAAGAGCAGATTTACAGAGTCCATAGAGAAGGCTGGAGCATGGTAAAGGACTGTCTGGCACAGTACAATATAATATGCCCGTGTATTCAATATATACTAGTCAAATATTCTTTTATTTATGTTTTATGTCTTCTATTTAAACTGCTGGGCATTACTACAGATGGCTGACCCCTAGCACAAGACGAGGTGTGTCTATTAGTGGATTCGAACCCGGACTACTACGTGTTTTTTTACTCGTTGAGATTAGAAAGGTCATAAAAAGTTATAGGTTACCCACGGGAGCAATGTATGTTAATCGAGATCATGTTTGTGGCTTTTATTGATAACAAACGAGGGAGAGAGAGAGAGAGAGAGAGAGAGAAAGAGCGAAAAGATCTTTATACCAGAGAGATTTACCCCTATTTATTCGCCCCTATTGTCTATTAGGCCGTTTGAAGCAAGAGCTAAAAAATCAATACTAAATTTGTTCATCATTTCACCGAACTGGTCCAGGCAAACTACCTGAAGCATTATCCATATACAATGGCGATTGTATAACAGAATTTCCATAAAAAAAAATTTCCTATTTCCCTGAAAAATACTGTAAGCGTGAAACCTTGAACTCAAAAACCGGAAAGGTTTCCGGAGATAGCATTCTGCCGGAAAAGGAGTGACACCACAGATGTCTCTACCACTCACCTACCAAAAACACAAATCAGTCTTCCTTTTCAAGCCGCAATCAGGGTAATGCAAGCAGCGTGTGTCGATTTCCCTTAAAATTAAATAATTCCAGTGGCGAATAAACGTAGATGTATGGAAAAACGGCATTCTGTATAAAAACCCTGCGTAACTGTCGAACTTTCCAAGCCTACACAGGATTTCGCACATAGTTTCTATAAGCCAAACACGGGAGTTTCAGCGTACAAGACACAGAGATACATCTGTGGTTACACTAAAACAATCGTAAAGGTGAATAGTTTTTTTTCCGCTAGACAATGAAAACTGCTAGACAAATCGACTATTATTTGTCTTTATTCAGACCTACTCGAGCTAGCACCACGGACGAGATTGGCCGATCGATATATCGTATGGTATACAGCACATTGACGAGTGACGGAAAAACGTCTCAACGCTATGTTTTTATTTTTTCTATCCAGTCACCAACCTGCTCATTGAGAACCGCCGCCGCATCCATTATAATCAGAGTAATGTCTTAACGCGCTCAATTCCAAAGCAAGTGAAGTTTTAAAATACGGATTTCGATGTATTTGTCTTTGTTGTTTCTCGTACGTATATCGTCACAAGAAAAAAATGCGGGAAATAATCATCAATCGTATTTGTTGTTTGTTCGAATGGGCACGGTAAAGCCTTGTAAACGTCACCAGATACAATCGTTTTTGATGGATAGACATTTTTACTAGTGGGACGTTGTATCGTCCTTAAGGCCTACTGGATAGCTAGGACGTGGCATTCCTGACACGTTTCATCTGCCGATATGACTAATTGTGGCAAGTCGGCTGCCTCGAAGGCCGCTTTATCAATGAACTATGAAGCTCTGCGGTCGCTCCTACGCAAACGACACCTACACATAGTAATTGTCCCGTTACCGGTTCAAATAATCATAGACCAAATAATATGTCGGCAAAGGTAACTGTGTGCAAAGATCGGAAATCTTGTGCCGTATGCTGAAGCTAGTCATATGCCTTCGCTCGTGGCAGAAAGCATCGATGATTTTTTGTAACGAACGAAAATCACTGGACCATTGGCTGTTGGATATTTTTGATTTTGTGTTATATAATAGAACGTCTCCATTGGAAGGTTCCTATCTTAAGAACACAGTTCTTCTACCTGAACAGAGTTTTTCCAAGAGTCATAGTTCTATACCAGCTAATATATTAATCGTATTGGATGTTTTTCATCGAAAGATCAATGCTATTTTATAATTATTACGAGTTTTATAAGCTTAGAAGATCGATGTTTAACCAGCTACTGCTTATTAGGGGCCGCAGGGTAAACGTTTCATATTCTAAGCAAAAGGCAAAACATCCATAGAATAATCAGTTATTACGTACTATCTTCGTTAGCTAGAAGAAAGGGATCTTCTATCAAAGTGACTGAAAATCTTCTTAATTCTTTTAGAATACATTATCCATCGTCCAGTTTCGGTCCTGTATAAGGCGTATTCGACTCATTTGAGCTATTTCATTTATTTACTATTTAAGTGAATAATGTGATAAACGCAAAATGTCTAATAGAATCGGCTGAACTAGGTAAGAATCGGAGTGTCCATTATAAAATCAAATAGTTCAAAACTCTGCCGATCTACTAATCATTACTTGGACACCAGGATTACTAGGACTAAACAGAGGAGTCATTAATTACACTTACTCGATTTCTAATGTTTTATATTTGGTAATTGTTTACAATAAGCCAATAAGACCGCGTTAGACAATGCTGTCTAATCACCTTAATTAATGTTTGATAAACATTCGCCAAAACGTTCGTTTTGGTAGCGAAACAATGTAGCTACGGTTTTGTTGATCGCCTGATGGGGTTAGAACCTCGTGATTTCATACAGACCCTATATATCCAGTTAAAATTTTAATCTTTTCATTTGTGCCACCTATATTCTAAATTGTGTGGGCCAAGAATTCCCAACGTTCCTGGCTAGAAATTACAATATGTATAAAATTTGACGCCATTACGTTGCCCTGTAATTTCCTAGCTTAAATCGTCTACTTCATCGCTGTTGATACCTTTACGGCTACGCAACTTGCATGCCCGTCTCACCTGCCTTCTTTAATAGATCAACCAGACGCAGATACCTCATGCTCGCTTCTCCCAAGCAGAAAATCGTGTTACCGAGAAAATGCAATGCCCGCCTGAAACGAATTCTCGAAGAAGAAATATATCTATTCAAACAAAAAATATAGATAAGAAGTACGTAAGTAATACAATAAATTGACCACTTCCTGCAGTAAGCTCACTGTCCCGCAAAACATATACAGTGTAGAGACCCTCACAGCGAAGAGCAACTTGTTGCAGGATCACTGCTGATCGGTCGCGCCAATTTGAAATTTAGGACATTTTTTTGTTGAAGAATATCTCGCCCTTAGACAGACGGAGAATGCAGCCTATAAGTAGGAGCCAAAGCCACTCACTACGTGGAAATAATAATGAGAACAATCGGCTTAACTTTTCAGCCATACTGACGATGTCGCAAGTTGCATAACAGCTGCATTCGGAACAGGCCATTGATGGAAAAACAGGCTTTCTCCGAACATATCGACCCTTGCGGTCCGAAAAGAAGGCTCAGTGACTGCCGAATTTGCGGCGTTATCCTGAACTCATCGAGTATCGGGCGTTACGGAAACTTCAAGCGAGCTAACGAACGAGCCGTCGTCAGGGCCAAGACCGATGCTTACGTTAATACAGTGACGAAGATCGCACTAATGAGAAGTCGCTACTTGCGTTATTTGCCTGCGGACGACGACGACGGCGATGATGACGTTTTCGGCTTTGCGCTTCCGGTTATGTACAGTCGAATTTGGCACTGCAATCGGCAGAGAGCGAGCGAAGTAGATTTATATCGTGTGGATTAGATCGTGTGGATCTAGTCCAAGGTATCATGCAGCTGCGACCGTGCACGAAGAACGCTTTGAATAAAAACGTACTCCACGCGTGCGCTAGAGTTACCTTTTGTGGCTTGCTCGACTTTCCGTTGACTTGCAAATCTATAACCCACATATATATATAGATACGTGGATAATAGGTATATATATCTATAACCCACATATATATACATGTTGGTATTCCAAAAACATAAACAATCTTACCTACACGGACATTCACATATGGACAGCTGCATTTATTTAAAGCTAGTCGCTGGTCAAGAGATGGTCAACTGCTCGATGGATAGAAATTTCTTCATTTAGTTCGCATTAATATTTCAGTTAGTTTATGGTAATATGTAAGCAAAAGTAATTAATCTATATACGATATATACATTTCAGTTCTACACCAAACTACTTTGTACAGAAGGATTTTTTGACAGTTCCTGAGCATTATCGAGTTTGGCTTCATTTTGACTTTGCCTCTCGTTAGTTGCCCTATGCATTGGCGCCAATTACTATTATTAAATTATAAAGCTTTTTCAGAACAAGTTCGATACCCATTCTTTGTTCGAAGTTTCGGACTATGACAGCTGCCCGACTATCTGCTGATACATACGAAGATTTCGGCATGGCAGTACGAGCGTAATGGGTGACGGACGATAGTTGTTGTGAAATCTGCGCATATATAGCACTCGTCTTTACCTTTGCAACATGTACATATGCTACATGGGGTAGTAGTACGTATGAAGCCTTTGGTCCATAGCTGTTTTTATCAGGTGGCTTTCGATTACCTTAGAAGTGGTTACCTATCGTTACTGTATTTACAACTCCATTACAAGTCCATTCTCCTGCCTGCCTATATTGTTATATGTTGATGTTGCTTTTTCCTCCTTCCTTCCCCATTAACGAACGAAACGTATAACGCTACTTTTGACAAGTGTGTTCCTGCCACGGCTGAATAGACTCGTAGATACGTAAGGATTTACGGTGCGATGCAGCGGGTGGGGAGTGTAACAGGCAAGCCGGCTCATCTACAGGGGGTCAGAGTCGTGAACCTCAAACAATCGCAGTGTACCGCTGCTATGGTTGATCTGTGGCGTAATTTCTCCGTAAAACATCGATACACGAGCTCGACGGCCATCAAATCTGGAAGTCGTAGAGAGAAAGCTTTAGTCTGAGTATGCGTTTATTTCGGTCCTTTGGCTTTATCACGAAGGATCGATCCAGTATGCCGTGTTACCTAGGGCCCAGCACGTTCCCTAGTGGTAGGAAGGGGCAACCGAATTTTTTCGGTCTTCTTCTAGATTTGAAATATGTTGAAAAAGGTCACCTGCTATTAGTACTGTGCTATTTAGCTAATTCTTTATGGAAGAAGGTACCGGCAAAATGACGAAAATCGCTCATTTAGCAGATGATGCGTGAGACTGTGTTATCCAGTTCATTTCTGTATCCCGCAAGTTTCGATTATTAAGTATGTGCACATTGTCATGTATACCCAATATGAAGTTTGGCGGCTTTAGGATTTCGAAAACCTACCCTAAATCCAATCATCGAGTTGTTCAGATAACAACTCTTCTCCAGGCACGATATTTCGTTAATGACGAAAAATTAGGTCCTTTAAACTCGTCGAGGACGCACGTAACAAAACTACTTACAACGTGAGCTGCCAATGAGACTGGATGTTGATCAGGGTGAACTTCCTAATCCTACCGCGTAAACTAATAATACGCTATTTCTGCTTTCATTCGTCCCGACAAGCCTGAGCTTTAAATTGACGCCCCCTAAAAAGCGCCGTCAATATGAAGTTAGGAAAGCTAGCTAATGTATCGTAATATCACAATTATCCGTTTAACTCGTTTAAATCGAGTGTGTATCGATATGTACAAATAATAAAAAGGTATGTAAGTACTTATAAATATAAGTCACCATTAATGTGTAGCGGTGTTTTACCAATCATTGATCTATTGGCATTTGTTGTCAGGAATAAATCACACTTGATGCAAATACACTTCTTAAAAACTGCGGTATCGTATTTTCTGTGTTCTGCTTCGCACTAAAGAATTATCTCCCCTCTTCATTTCAAAGAGTAAAACGACGCCAAACGTAATACACACAGACAAATTTAAATGATTCTGACTGTTCTAGACATTGTGGGCAGTGTATGCTCAAACGGTACACTTAGCTCTTCTATAGGACGACAGAAGACATCTTAATTCGCTAACACTTCCTACTGCAAGAAGTTGCCAACGTAAACTCTGAATATAGACATCCTGTGAATAGAGCAAGCCCATTGGCCTTTTCTAACAATTTTTCTGGTCTGCAAAGATGGCTCCTGTCGTTCTTGGTTTTATTATTAATATTGGTGCTGCTTTTAGTTTTACCTGTTGAAATCGCTCCTGTCGTTCAGGTCAGGCACCTCTACCTTCTCCTACGGCTAACTGGTCTACACCAAATCCGTGTTTACGCGTACGTTTATACAGAGACAAATCCTAACGGAGGTAGAGACGGGAGGTGAATCGCCCTAAATATGTGTACACGTTTTATACGTTCAACACCCATCGACGCACGTTCACTGCTCGTCTGTTTTGTTGTATCTTCGAAGTCGCTGTCTCCACTGTTTTGGCATTGCTGTGATTGTTACGGTTTTGTGCTTGTGTACGATGTCCATTGGGAGCGCCAAGTAGAATCATCAGCCAGTGACGGATTATCGTTTTCCCGTCTTACGTTGCTTGGTTGTTTTATCAGTCATTGTTGGCTGCCGTTCCCGTTTGCTTTCTTGCCTACGACTGCGTCCATCCCGCCAACTCGTACTCTCAGCCGCAACATTACTACGGTTCACTTCTCATCTACGTCTTCACTTGATGAGAGCAGTCAGAGAATTAGCTGTCTGGGAGGCTTGGGAAAAGCAGATTCCGCCCGTTCGTAACTCTGTACGCGTGCATGCTTCTCATCTAGATGTGTACGCCATAACGTGGCCTTGCACAAACGCCAGCCGCCAGTCAACTACTAGCATACTCAGTGGCAACAGCTGTATGAGCTGAGAAAGGAACAATAACCAGGGTTGGGTCTAGCGGAGGCTGCACGAATTTCAATCGAGAAACAGCAGAGCTGGCCTGACAAACGGCAACAGCTAATTTGTGTGATGCGTCTATACGTGCCCACTGTGGATACGTTAACGAGTGTTATCGATCGATAATTATGATCAGCGAAGGCCTTAACCACACACAGGCCTCGAGAAAGATTTACACGGACGTTACAACCTCGTATCGGTTAGACCTGTAGGACAGAAGTAGAAGAATCTATTCTGTGTCCTTCACGCTCCTAACGCATAGTACTCCTTCGCGATCCGACTAGCAGCTTCAAAGGCTACGACAAATGTTTCCACTTATTTTCGTGTAAGCGCTGCGACTTCATCGACAACTTCTATTGTAACAAGCAACAGCTGTTATACACACATAGAGCAATTGCACCGTCAGAAGGTTGCGCCTACCGGAATTACCCACCGTTACAGTCAAAAAAAAAAAATCAAGCAGAGAATGGTACTGCAGGACACAAAAGACCTCACCTACGAAGCCGTTAAATACCGATTTAGAATTTTTCAATCGGTGAGACACATTTTTGTATTTGACGTTGTTCGATTCGTCCAACCTTATCACAGTAACTGTAAATATTTCGAATCGGTCACGTATTCGGCTAAAAGGCTCAGCGAGTCACAAAACGTTACGCGACGCCTACAACTTAAAAAGAGCAAAGACCCACCTCGTAAATAGAATGCTTTGATATAAAACCGTGAGTCTGGATTCTACATTGCGCGACGCTTTCTCACCATCCGTATGAATTGGTTCTCTATAACTAATAAGCATGACTAGCTATCTCCGTATGGGACGACTTGACAATAAATAGGGTAAAAAAAGAAAACGTCAAATTGCTGCGGCATACACTCGAACCAAAGTGTGTTGAAAACTGGCCATGTGGCAAAAATGTGGTTCCTATGAGTAGCCGGTTAGAATAACGTAAAAATAATTGAAGAAAGCTTACCATCAACGTATAACCAATGAATAAGCGTGGATTTACCATTACGCTTTCGTGGGCAAGCGACGTCCAACGAGTGGATTAAAGGCACGGACCCCCAGCTAACACTTGACCAAGAAGGGCCTCAGCTGGCAAAAAAAGTCTCAGCGACTGATTTTACAATGCACAAACGACATTTCGTATTGCTTAGATTGTTTTCATTTTCATATGAGTTAAGTATTCCACTCCGTTGTACATAAACATTCTGCTATTTCATAGCTTCATGAAGGCTGTGCTTCATCCCGATCACAGAAGTTAGTGGGTGGTAATAGGCAGTCGCAGATGATAATAGGACATATTATTCTACAAACGCACAAAAACGCTGCATATTCGTCGGAAGGAGCCCACTAATTTTTACTCATGATGGTCTCTATTGATGAACGTCCTGATGACGGAAATGCCCGTTAGGTCCGCGCCACACGAACGGGCATTGGAATTCATAGTAGAGGTCCCTTCGTTGCCCTTTCGTTGTTGGTAGCATTAGCAGTAGGCATGGTGATCCGATTTACGACCATGTTTACGACTGGGACGCGGGCAAGCAACGTTGGGGTCATTATAAATAGACATCTATATTTCGGGACTCAAGTGATCAACCCACGAACGTCCACAGATCGTTGGCAAAGCCATAAAACATGTTGAGCACTCGCGCAAGATGGCACAGAAGCCCCGTTGGTTCCAACGGGAAGACTGACACTGGCTATCTTGGATTTTTCGTGAATGCATTTCGAACAGCATCAACGAGAACATTCGGTTGCATAGGTTATTACGAAAATATTGCACAGTAAGAACCGAACGCCTAAAATAATGATTCAATAAATAAGAAAGTACCAGATTATAATAACAACAATATGATCTCTATTGCTAGATCCTTCGAAACACAATGACATCGTTTATATTGCAGTGTGAAGGGAAAAAGCAAGATGTTGGCAAGCGAGACCTCATGTCTCACTAATTGTTGTTGTAACTACTAATACGAGGAAAGGTATTGCACGCTAACCTGACGCTGTCCGAACTACACAAAAAAGACTGCCCATTATACCCCGAAAAATGTTATTTCTAAACCGTGCATATATCAATAGGGAGCCTGGGCTAATGTGTTTATTTTTTTTATAATAATAAGCTTAAAAACCTACGATTATCTTAGGATTCATAAACTGCTGGCTCATATTATAAGGCAGACCATTCCCTAAGAGGATAAAACCAATATACGCAACTTTTCTAATATGGTGTTCGATTAGTCGCCATAGGTCTTTCTTTTTCTGATGGCACTAATGGCTGCAACGGTACTGAATCAAGTAATCACTAATGCAAAACCTGGGAAAAAAGATTCTTCTGTGTGCTTAGAAAACGCTGACCGTTTAGGGATAAGGTGCCGAGTGTTCAACCAGGTCTTCAGCCGATCATCCTAAATAATTGTCACGCCTAGCGATTCGCATAGCAGCTATTAGGATTGTACACGGGGAAGAAAAGGCTAGCTCTTAAAGACCTATAATAATGGGGCTTCCCGTTCAGTTCGAGACATATTAGTATAATTGGGAGATTCGAAAGAAGATCTCATGCTTAACCTCATACGAGGCGTCTGTTCATCACGAAAGAGGCCAGATAAACGAATCCTAGTAAATTCCATGGGGAAGTCTTACATGCGAAATATCCAGTGAGAGCTTTACCTTTGCTAGCTTGCCTTTAGAGAAGAGCAGAACAATTATTATGAGGCACCCTATTGGTATATAAAGAAAATAAAGATAGCCGCCTTCAAATCGAAGCTAGATTTATCGTACGCTGATATACTGCGAGTAGAATTTGGTTCATGTGATGGTTTGAATTGTTTATCGCTGCTTGCGATTATAAGTATCGCAAGTTGTGCCTATGGTCCATCGCCGAACTTTCAAGTTCAATATCTAGGACTCAACCGTCTAATACGAGTGAATAATTGCCTCTTTAACGACCAGATATGTTAAACGTGTTTTCGCATGTTTAGGCCTCCTTCTGAAGACATACTCTAGCAATACATGTCCAACATATACCCTCAACGTTTGCATTTCTCGCTTGCATTGCGACTTGTGTTATATCCGCTTTTTACGGTAAACTACAACGAGTCATTTAGTCCTGCCTTCTCTGTCTGCAACAACATCGACGACGACAAGACGCTTGCGGCTGCAACGAAGCACATTCCTTCGCGGTCCTCGTCATCGTCGACGTCCTATTCGTTCGGGTATCGCCGCTGAGCGACTGTTTCCTAATCACGCACGTCTGCTACTGCCCACCCTACACCGCAATACCAGGAGTCGCATGGCACCGCGAGCAAGAGACGATGCCAACTCCTGGTGACGATGAATCGGTGCCTGCATTCCGACTGCTTAAGACCATCCTCTTGATGAGCTCTATCCTCAGGGCGGAATTGGTCAGTGTGAGAGCAGGCCAAGTTGAAGATTAGAAAGTGTGCCCCTATGGTATATGCGGACGGACCGAAGCAGCAGGAGTGAATGGATATCATCTTATTAATGCTGCCAATCACTATTAGGTTTATTATTAGGACGGTAACGTCTACTAGGGCTAGGGTGACGCAGTGTTTGCTACGCTGCTGTTGCTGCCAGTACTACTCTTGTTACTATCAGTAAGCATGAGCCCGCGTTGATACTTTGATATCGATGCAGAAGTCATAGAAACGAGTATGAAATTCCATTGGAGAAAGCCTCTGAGAAGGAGGATGCAACGCAACTGTCGACATCTTAGATGGTCGTCATGCTGGGGTACTTGTCGACGTTGATGGTGGGTACTAACCCATCGTGACGGCATCCACGCAAGAGCCAAATTATTGGTGCGCACTGATTGCTGGGCACTGGCTGAATCTGATGACTACTAGCCGTATAGCTTATGGAGTGATGAAGATTGCACTCGTAAGAGGCTGCCAAATACATAGATATAACGAAGAAATGTGCGCCAATATTATATTAGTATAGACGTAGGTGTCGAAAGCCTGAAGTCACAATCGAGTAACATTTATTGTCTAGCAGGGTAAAGTTGATAAACAAAGAAATATTGAATCAATGCAGTTTATTGATGACCGTATTTCGTTCGGGCACACACATCGTGCCGAATGATTTGTATTTTTTAAACTGTTTTAAAAATTTCAATTTTTTTAAAACGAATTTTAAACGTAATCTTGAGGAATAAGGCGTTTGATTTTTCAACTTAGTTCGTGCTACTTACGAAAAAAATCATTTTTACACACAGAAAATTACCCACAGCTGCTGACCCCCCAATAACTGTATCTGCGATTTCATTGCGGAAACAGACACGTATTGGTGTGCAAATGTCTCAGTTTGCTAATAAAAATGTGCCATCCATTAAATTCCGTATAAATGAGCGGTTTTACACTCCGAGACACCGAGGGATACCTGCTTCCGTCTATCCCTACGGCGAATTTAGCTAGCTCTCACTGTACAATTCTTAAACAATGCTTAGCTAATAGTTAACATCATTAAGCTATAATATAGAACGGTAACGGGTCATCTCACTATTTTAAGGTGATCCTCAGATAAGTACAATGAGCCAAGTAGTGAAGACTATCGCTCTCACACGTTCTTAATAGATGAGAACACCTTGAGCACTGCGTGACCTCTACTACTAGTGGCGCCATATTCATCGATAGCACGCTGAATACGTGTTTTCAGACACGGGCAAAGTATTATTTAAGGCTTAAACAGTACCTTCCATTTATTGTGCTTCACTGAATGCTAACTCCTCACGACAGCGATAGTTGGCCTCGATTACGCAGGTGAGCTTTTCTCCGTCCGTTTTGTTTGCGCGACAAGTGAAGAACGCTTGTGCGATTTAACGTTGCCACATTCGACTTCGTATACCAAGGAGGCAATTTCAGGCTTATCGTAGGTCGCTTGTTAGTACAGGCACTTTTTTCGGTCAATTTTAAAGGAAATAGGACTTTGTTCATTCTGATTAGCTTGTCTTTCGCTGGTAGAATGAAGCTGCGTTATACTCCATATACATTTTATTCGTGTCTTATTTAGGCCACTGCAGGGTGGGATGCCCATAGCTGAGACCTCGTTAGCCCTCCCGCCAATTATATTCGACCTTACACTTGGGCTATATGATTTATTTACTACTCTACTAGAAAAATTAACAGTAGAGTTATTAGTTAGTTATTCCGGATGCTAGATTATTCTATATTCTTTTCACAAAACGTTCCATTTAACTAATGTAGAAGTGACTTATACGCTGCACAATATTTATTATAATGAGCTTTCGTCAAATACTAAGCAGCACAATTACAAAACCTCATTTGCGCGTCCAATATGGCTAAATCGAATGTGATATAATATCACGATAACAAGACCCCGACAAAATTTCGCTGGATTCGTCCCATTTTCCGTGAAACGTGGGTTTATCAAACACTCCCATTAGAGATAAATTGGCACCTTACAGCCAGTTCTCAGTCAGCCGTAGAAGTATAGTAATAACAACAAGCTTACGCGAACCTGACAAACAATTTTCCAAGCGATCGTGTATAATGAAGCTCTCGATTCAACGTTAATTGAGGATTGTTCCTAATATAGGTCGGTGACTCAAAAAAAAAGACACGAGTACTAAAGATCGAAAAGGCTAAGATTAGCATGGATAGGTAGAGTCTTTGATGGTCCTATCTGTTGAGTATCATGCGCATTAAGGTAAGCAATCTAAAGGAATATATCACTGTGTATTAAGGCAAAAGTGGCCTACACCTCTAGCTAGCAATAGGCCGTCCGACGGACTCCGTAGTTTCAATTTTCAACTTACCGTGGAACACGTCGGATAAACGACTCCTGTAAGCCCGCACAACTAAATAGCATACATTTGTTCTTGATGGCCCTATTTGCTTATGTATTTTTGATATAGGAGCAGAAGCTTCAACAAACTTCAGTTAGGCGACGTCTAACCGCGCCTGAGGTTTGAATCTGTTAGATGTATAGATAGGCAAAATCTAAATCCTGAGTACATAGGTTTTTCATAACGAGTCCTTTTCTTAGATATTCCTACAGTGCTACATAACGCTAGGCAGTGCGTACTGACAAGAGATGCTTTTTTTAGTAGTAACATAGCAGGACAAAACCTTATCGTATCTCCTGTCAGTTGCTCAATAAAAACACTTGAATAGGGCTTGAATCAACAGCCGATTGAGCCTCAGGACTTGTGTGCATATATATGTATATACTATACTGGACAGGATGATATCTCTATATAATAAAGTATGGAACGCACCACCACATAACTAATCGCAATAAACACAGATCTCCCTCCTATCATCTATGTTCCACTCGTCTAATTTAGATATTCACACAAACACAACCACTCGGATTCTATAGGAATTAGACATACTGCTTCATGTCTAAATCTAGTGCTAGATCAATTTATCTAGAGATCTGTAGACGTTGTTGTCACCGAGATGTTATGCTCGACATAATAGAAACATAAAACATCTCGACCAAATTAGACAGCTCAGGATCCGCGTAGACCCATACGTTGGTGGTGTGCCTAACTCTGAACCTTTTCTTGTTACCCAGCAGTTAATTGGCCTGATGTGCGTTCACAGCGCTCGGTATAGCCCGAAACGCGATAGTTTTCAGGTTATAGAATAAATTATGAAGCGGCCATACCAGCCATTATAAAGAAGTTTGCTAAGACAGAATTACACAAGATCTCTCGATATTCTCAGAGTACTGTAATCTTTTTTTTTTTTTTTTTTTTTTTTGCTTTTAACTTAAACGTACTTTAGAACAACAAGAGAACATTTAACACATTTTTAGACGATTTATAGC